AAAGAGGGGGAGACGGAAAAATGGACTGCCCGCGCCCGCGGGCGAGAAACCCCAACTCCAAAAAACAGCCGCATCTCCACGTCGCCAAATACACTCAACTCCCGACTTCTCGCCCATTCTTGTCCTGTTGAAAGCGTTTTCTGATTGGCTGACAACAGTAGCTGCAGCGACCAGTAAAACTCCACCATGGTGACCTCATTCCTCGGCCGCCCCAGGTAAGGATTGGCTGCTGTTGGTCCCGCCTCTCCATCCCCACGTGGGAAAGGGGATCCCGGTCCGGGCGCTGATTGGCCGCGGCGTTGTCGGCGGTGGCTCCGCTGTTGCTGAGGGGAAGCGAGAGAGGCCTGGCCGGGGCAAGAGAGGCCAGGAGCGGACCACCGGTAAGTTGATGAATATGCTAATGACATGCAAATTGTATTCAAATGAGTCCTCCACTGAGGGGATTTCTGATGGGAACGAAGTCTACCTTCCCGCACCTCAGGAGTTGTACTTTGCAGTCCTGCAGGGGGGAGGGGACGGACTCGAAGTAACCTGCAGAGCCTGATGGGAGTAGTAGTTTTTCCATAGGGAACTCCCCAGGATATGCGAACGGAGGGTCGCCGCTGCGGACTACAACCCCCATGGAAGCCGCGCGCCGGGTCTGAGCTTGTTTAGAAGCTCTATTTCCCAAAGCATGATGGGTGCCCTAGTCTTTTCGCTATCGCGTTCTTCGACTTTTCCTATGTCAAGCGCTGGTCCTGAAGATTTTCGCTCTCATGAAATATCCGGCATCACCACTTTCCTGAGAAACGGTACGCGCTGCATCTTGGGAGTTGTGCGTCCGTCTAGGAGAACTTCCTGGTTTCTTCTGTAACACTTTAAAGGATCCGTGACTACTATGACCGTGAGGCTTTGCGCGCCCAGCATTTCGAATACCGGACGGCTTTGCCCTGGTGCAAGATGGGAGTTGGTGTCTTTTCCTTCCATAGTTGTGCCATTCCCGTTATGAAAGATAATGCGCGGAACTACAAGTCCCACAAAGTAATGCTCGCTCTCCTTCGCTCAGCTTTGTTCCGCAGTACGTTCTGGGAATTAAAGTTTTTCTGGGAGAGCAGAACTGCTTAATCAGCTAAAGACGAGAGCCCTTGAGGGACTACATGTCCCATGAGGCTTAGAGTAGGCGCCTTCTTCCTGTTCGCCTTGCGCCAGGTAAACAAGTCTTCGTTCTTGCTCCACCTCTTCATTCCTATTGGTTACTGTATGTTGAGTTTCTTCCCCTCCTTCCCTAATTCGCCTTTTCACAGGTTACTGTAAGTGTTCCTCTCAAGGGAGGGGCAGGAGTCCTTTGAACGGTATAGCCCTCCCCTTCGAGCGTTGATAGGCGACGCTTACTGCCTGTCTTGGGAGGTGGGGAATGGGAAACCTGCGGTGAAGAGTTATTGGCTGGTGCGAAAATCTGTCACAGAGTTGTGGGTGCTGATTGGACGGCTGTTCCAGCTGGTCCAGATTCATTCACCATTTTGTCTGTTGGAGTAAAAGGGGCTCGGAGGGGCCGAGAGGGGCTCGGGCTGGACCATCGGGGGGAAGAGGGGGGGAGTTGAACTATTCCAAGATTTCCTGGATAAAGACTTTGGCTTTACTCTGGAAAAGGGGGATCGTTCAGGTAAGGGGGCTGGGAGGTGCCAACTTTAGTACCCCCACTAAGGGCGGGGGGAAGGGGAAGATCTGCAGAAGGTAAGATCTGCATCCTAACCCTTCAAAGTAGGAGGAGGAATACATGGCATAGCCAACTTTACTGATTGCCCCCCCGTTCCAATTATGTCGGGGAGGTACCAACTCTGGTGCCACAGCATGGGAACCGGGGCATTCCCCACTTCTTGCCCCCAAGTTTTAGTGGTTCGCCCCAGAGGGAACCTGCAGAGGTGGGACAGTCCTTTGCAAAAAGGGAACCAAGGAGCGCTCCCAACTTTGCCCCTTTTCCTCTTCCATCAGAATGCAGGGGCTGGGTTGCGTGTCTGTGTGTGCGCGTGTGTGTGCGCGCGTGTGTGAGAGAAAGCGAGCGAGCGAGCGCAGGCATGTTTATTATGGGATGGCATAGAGGTGGCAAGGTTCCAGGCTGAGACCCAATACCAGTTATTATGGGATAGAGGGATTGACAGGAAAGCTTGGCCAGTGTCTGCCTGTGGCAGGAATGGGACCGAGAGGCTGGTAAGTAGAGGAGTTGCATAATATGGGAGGGTCTTCCTGAAGTGCAGGCGGGGGGGGGGGGTCCATAAAAACAAAGAAAGGAATCGCAGCTTTGAAAGCTTTGGGGGGGGGGGGGGGG